ATTACCATCACTAGTGGTTGTCTGATAAATGTCATCAGACAGATTGCCCATAATTAATTCGATCGAGAACCTCCCAATTTTATTTCTGTGGACAACTGTACCTTCGTTAAATTTAACAAAGCCTAGCTGCGCTTTACAAAATTTACCGAGAGCACCTTCGCCGCACTAACCATTCCTACGAACGTAATCGTTGGCGAACGTCAATTCCGCAAGGTGATCGCAGATACAAACGCTCGCTTAATCCCGGCTGGAAGAATCGCAGAACTCTGCCCCAATTTCCCTGCCGAAGCAACTGTTTTATCTAATGAGCGCGACACCTTACGCTATCCTGATCCCATGCCACGCCCACTTCAAAATTTTTGGCAAACATATTAACATATCTTAATATAGTGCTTAGATATAGTGGAAGTGGCAATGGGCTGATTAGCAACATGTTTCAAGAGTTTAAATATAGAACTTATAAAAAATTTTTTCTTCTTTTCTTTTCAACTCAGTCTCAATATAGTTAGAATTGAAAGATAAGACCAAGAACGATATTTGATCTGTTAAATAATGCAATTGGAAGCAGTCTTGCAACTTATAAACTATTTAATGTTTTAGATTTCTCGTGTTCTCAGATACCTGATATTTTTCGTTTCGATTGTTTCTTACCAATGGAGCCCTAGTTTCTGTAATTTCAATTTGATATATTTTGAAACTACAGTTTTTGTTTTTTAATTTTTACTTCCTAATTTGGGATAATGACAAATGGTACTTGATGTTGCAGTTTTTAAAATAGTATTTTTTGATGTGATGATGTATATTAACTGCAGCAAGTACAACAGATAGACTGGACTAGCTAGCGATCTCGAAAAAGATGTGTCGATATTTATCTTCAAGAAATAGAGATGATTCATTATTCCCCAATGATATAACAGATTCAATAAACTGAAAAGTTACTACTGGCTGGATTAACATCTGCCTTATATGTACAAAAATTTTTTCAAAATACTGGCCATTGCTTTTTACACATTTTGGTGTTTCTGGATACCATTTCAATCTTGCCTTCTGAAGTAAACCAATCAGACACCAAATTTTTTACTTCTGCGTAAGAATTGAAGTGCTGCTGAGCTAAACCTTATCTCATCGATGAAAACAAAGTGTAAGCGGAAGAGACCAAGTATTATAAATAAGATGGGTGTGGTAGTAGCTCTCTTTGAACCGATTTTGGCAGGTTCATTATAACAAAATTACTTTGCCGTGTCTTTGGTCCATTCTGGTCGTTTTTCGATCGCTGCATATCAAATTGATAATTTGATGTCTGTTGCGATTATTATTAACAGTTTCACCAGGTTTTAGAAGCTCATGTAATCGACACTTTTATGATCCTACCAAACACAGAGCATTGCCTTCGATGTGTTTTTGCAGCCGATTTTGTTGGTTGACCCGGATTAACCCATGATTTCTCTATGTAGGATTCTCAAAATATCAAATTTTCATCGCCAGTGACAATTAGATGAAAAACTGATTCTCCGTCGTGTCTTTGAAGCAAAATTTCACAAATGTTTTTTTGGTTTTCCATTTGTCTTTTATTCAATTCGAGTGGCACCGATTTGTCACACTTTTGGATCTTTCCTATAGTTTTCAAACTGACTGAAATTGTTGTGCAACATTATACATGGCTGCCATTTGATTTTGATTCAAACTATCATCTTCATCCTTTAAAACCATCTTTTGCGTGTTGCTTCTGATAGTGAATGATCACCATGTGCCTCGACAAGTATTCGATATTACTCTGTAACTCAAATGGAAACAAAATATTGGGTAGTCGAAAAGCCTTTTCGTATTTTGTCAATAGATGCCGTTGCAGTCGCAGATCTCCAGTACTACCAATCACATTGTGTCATACCATTTAGTGTTAGAAAAGTGAGAATGTAAGCTTCCTTTAACCAAAATAAAAATTAAATTCGGAAAGTTGAAAAAAAGTTAAAGCTGCTTCGTTAAAAATTTGACATTTTTAATTGATAGATGTCATTGCAACCAAACAGAAAAAACTTAAGACTCGTTCACAACAAATGTTCCCTACGAACACATTTATATCTTTATGCTCACTTCATACTGCAAAATGTTTCGCCCTATTCAAATGAGAAGTAAACCTGGATAATGCCTATTTATTTATTTTGCTATAACTGTAGATAGAAAGTTTTTTATTTTTATTTCATTTATTTATACAAAGCTTACATAATAATTAATTATTATCTAAACTAAAGCAAACGCAGCGCGGAAGGGAAATAAGTGTGTGAAAATAGAGCAGAATGAAAAAAGGAGGCCGTACGCGACAATTACTTGATTTTCCGTTACCACAGCATAGGAGGTGTGTGAGGCCGTCGATCCATCCGTGAAAGTCAATTGCCAGCCGTTGGATTTATAATTAGCGATTGATTCGGAAAACTTGGCTTTATAAACGGTGTTTGGTGTGTTATCTTTCCGCAAGGAGGCTAGGTCATTAATGAAGGATGTTTTGCTGGCCGCCCAGGGGGAGTGATGAGTGTACCGCGGAATGTGCTGCTTGATCGGCAGTTCAACCTGATTTACGAATAAAGAGAATGTGTGTATTGAAGAGGGAGGAAGACAAGATGATTGGGGTTTAGACTGAGCCTTGAATAGAGCCTGAATATTTTTTCTTCTATGTTGTCGTGAAGAGCCGGCAAACCCGATTCGACCAGAATATTTTTTATGGGTGACGTTGGAAATGCGCGTATGGATCTTCGCAATGCGGCATGGTAGGGAGCAGCGATCATCTTTAAGTTTTGTTTAGCGTGTAATCCATAAATTTCTATGCCGTAGTTGATGGTTGATAAGATGAGGGCGTTTGTCACGTCAATCAACAGAGCCGAGCTAATCAGCGAGCGTTTGCTTGATAAGTACTTAATAATGTTTAACTTTACATAGAGTCTTTCCTTAACGTATTTACAGTGCTGTTGAAAGGAATATTTGGGATCGAATACAATACCGAGAAACTTAAGATTATCTGTACATACAATATTTACACGATTGAAGGTAAATGAAGTAGAATTGCAGGTACGTTTTTGGCATATATGGAGCATTTTGGTTTTAATGGGACAAATTGAGGGGCCTGAGGAAAAGGACCATGTGGATAATAGGCGAAGGATTTTGGAAAAGGTCCTCATGACATCTGCTTGATCATTGGATTTGGAAAACAAACGTCGTCTGCGTATAAAGATGTCGCTAATTTCATTGAAGGCTATAATGAACAAGATGACTGATAAGGGGGAGCCATTATTATTGCGGGGTGCCATTATCGAGTGGAAAAATGGAAGAGCGGGTATAAGTACACTTAATTTTCGGTTTGAGGGAAATGATTTTATAAAAATTGTACATTTTGGGGCCGACCTTCCATTTGTCGAGTTGTCTTAGTACCACCGGAGTTCCAATCCGATCAAATGCTTTTTGAAAGTCGAAGGAAAGGAGGGAAACATGGTTTTTGCTGGAGAGCGCGTTTGAGATAAAATGATCAAGGTGTAGTAGGGCATCTGTGGTGCCTTGTCCCTTCTTGAAGGCTACTTGGTTATGGTAGATAAGTTGGTTTGAGTGGGCGTACCAGGTTAGTCTGGTAGCAATTATCTTCTCCATTAGTTTACCTAGGCAGGGAAGAAGGGAAATTGGTCGATAGCTGTTCACTTCGCAATGGGATTTGCCAGGTTTTTAGAAGGGTATTATTGCGCTGGTTTTCCACACGTGTGGGTAGTGGCCTGTGTTGAGGATATTGTTGTAATGCTTGATGAGACGGTGAAGGAGTAATCTGGGGAGATGCTTAATTATGGGACAGGATATTTTCTCGATGCCGGGTGTCTGGCCTTTTACTGCGGACAGGGCGAGTTGGAGTTCGAAAAGAGATATGTCGGCTTCTAAAAGTTTGGCTGAATGAGAGAGAGTGGTTGGTGTGATACGATGTTGGAGGATTTGTGAGCGTTTGGAGGCTATAAATTCGGGGGGGAAGGTTTGGTCTGAAGAGGCGTTAGAGAAGTGACTGGCGMATTCTTGAGCTATATCCTGGGGATATAGAAGATTGCCATGAGAGGTGTTAAGGGAGTAGATTTGGGGATTAGAGGGTAAACCGGTGAGTGTTTTTATGTCAGCCCAGATTTTTTTAGGGTCGGATGACGCACTGATGCTGCTAGTGAATTTTTGAAAACAGTGGAGCTTAGCATCTTTGATTTTCCGGCGAAATTGCGCGTTCAGCTTTTTGAATTGAATGAGAGTTGTGGTGGCCGGTTGCGTTTGAAGTTGTGCCACGCTTGTTGTTTGGCTTGCCTAAGGGACACAATTTCGTTGTTCCACCATAGGGGGGCTGGCTTTACTGGTTTGGTTGAGGACAGAGGGATGGAGACGTTGGATGCACAGCGGATTGCTTTATGGATATTGGAGGTTTCTTGGTTGATGCTGGAGGATGTTGGGAAGGATTTGGAATAGAAGTCGCATGCGCTTTCGAATTTGTTCCAATCCGCTCTATCTGTTTTAAATTTGATCTTGGGAGAGAAGGGAATGGTGGGTCGGGATGTGAGAATTTTGATGAGGATCGGGAAGTGATYGCTGCCGTGAAGGTCATCTATAAGGCGCCATGATGAGTTGTTGAAAAGGGAGGGAGAGGAAAGCGTAAGGTCAATATGAGTAAAGGTTGAGTGGGTTGAGAAGTGGRTGGGGGAGCCGTCGTTTAGTACGATGCAGTTGGAGGAGAGGATGGCATTTTCTATAGAATGTCCTCTCTGATTATAGGAGGCAGATSCCCAGAGCGGACTCCAAGCGTTAAAGTCGCCTGCAAGGATGAAGGGTTGGGGAGAGGAGGGGAAAAGATTGTAAAAGTCAGCTGTTGTTATTGATTTAACTTGGCGGGAAGTAAGCGCAAGTTATTGTGATTCTGATGGGGGTTTGAAGTCCTATGGATAGTGAGGATATATTGGATTGGGAAGGGGTGGTGGGGAAGGTTTCTCTTAACCAGAATGGCGAATCCTTGTTTCTTTGAGATTATTGTGGAAGTGCCCTACGTAGGATTTGGGGGTGGGGGCAGAGGAATTGTGGGAAAGGTGAGTTTCGTTTAGAAGTATAATGGAGGGTTTATACATCTTTATTAGGATTTCAAGTTCTATGTAGTTATTGTGATACCCGTTTATGTTCCACTGTAATAATGGTAACATTTGTTATATAATATGTGTGTTTGTATAGAATTAAAGGGTTAGCATAAGGATATTTATATTTATGACTTATCTATTAGGTTGACTTGTGTGACGGTAATGTTGTTTTATATGTATTTGGTCCGTTACAACGGAGTTATCGCCGCAAATGTGTTTTAAACCCCTTTCGATTTGAAAGACATTATATGATGATAATGGACGGATTTTGTCATCTGCAATTGGAGCGATGGCACTTGCCACTAAGAACCGAGGGATATGGTCGTCATTTTGTTTTGGCGCAGGAAGTGGTACAAAATCACTGAATTTTGGTCGTTTGTTGGGACGTTGCAAATCGGGATCGAGTAACCGAAACCTATTGCTTTCGGGGGGGTCGGCCCCGTACATGGTGTCGAATGATAACTAAGGCACTGATTTTTTTTGAATCGGCTAGACTACCGTAGTCGGTCGCAAAGAGGAAAAGAACGCGTGAAAATGTCACGGGACGGGGAAGTTATAATGAGGTATTGCATTGCGATACTGCCTTCGCCTATTTCAAAAATGGTTTTGCAAATTGCTGGGCAATTCAGAATCAGGGGTACTGGCATTTTCCAAGACTCTATGTCCATGTTGGGCAAGTGCTTCCTGGGCCTGCAGTGCCCTCTGTAGAGCGCGGCAAGGAGACGAAATTTGTAACGAGAGAGATGAGTTATTTACTTAAACTTTTAGAGCTTGTACCCTCCTAGAAGCGTCTTGGCATAGCGCATTCCTTCTGTCTGCTGCCAGTGCTGTTCTCTCTCCACTCTTTCCGTTGTGCGGAGCAGCTCTTTAAGAGTGTGGGACCCCACTGCCTTTCAGTCTGCATTTCTCTTCTGAGAAATTCCAAGTCAAGATAAGGAAAAAAGGGGTCATTAGGTCATAAAAAAAAAAAACTGACACATACGAACGCCAAACCTTTGAGCGTTTTACTATACTGACCTAGTACCATCACCCTGACTTGGAATTTCTCACCCCCCAGACAATAATCCCAAAAATGTTCCACAGTGTTATAAGCGATTTAACCTCCAATGCTGAGATCGCTTTTAGTGCCACTTGACTGTCGCTAAGTATGGCGATACTCTGGTCGCAGTGGCGGCCCGGTGTCGGGAAGTCACACCGGTTGAGTGGAGCCTGMMCCACGGCAAGGCGCCTGCCATTCGCAGAGGTGCTATGACTATGACCGTATATAAAAAACTACTATTTTACTTATGACTCAATCTCCCGCTAAAAATTTAGTTGATCCAATACTCAGACGAGTGATGTAGTGTCCTGTTTCGTAATCAAGTGCACAAAGGTTCAGTTTTTTAAATTGTCGATAACCTATGAAAAATTACGAAAAATCGGCTTTGTCATATCGTGTATGGATTACACCGAATGGATCTGGATTAACCTTCACATTGCCCAAGGAAACCATTTACTATTCTGTCACTGTGAAAACAGTTTCKCACAGTGCACTTTTGTCACAAAATAAATTGGTATAAAAATTAACAGCTGTTTTGCATTAAAGTTTTACGATATTAAATGAGTCCCACTAATTATTATTTAAATTTTCTATTTATTAGAATTTGTTTAAATTTGGAATTAATGAAAAGTTATTTTAAATTGTTTCTTTTAGAGTTGAATAAAAATCCCGTTGAAGGATTTTCGGCAGGATTGATTGATGAGAACGACATATTTCGATGGGAAGTTCTCATAATAGGACCTCCGGATACTCTCTAGTAAGTTATATGTAATGCATAATTATTATTCCATACAGTGAAAGAATTTGTTTAAGAAACATATATATATATATATTTTTTTTTTTTTTTTTTTTTTTTTTTTTTTTTTTTTTTTTTTTTTTTTTTTTTTTTTTTTTTTGAGATATGGTTTATTGTCTGCAAAGATAAGAGCACAAGTTAAAGTGGACTAAGGTATTGTTTTTTTGTAATTTACAAGAAAGTGTTTTACTTTATTTCGACTATCAGTGGCATCGGTGCCATATGTCACATCAATCTATAAGAGGACATCTGTGTGCGACTTACGGTGAGGCGTGTCAATTATTACGGTTGCTTGAAAACGATTTGCATTGGGATGACACGCTCAAATATTCCGTGATATCTTCATCGCCGCATCAAATTCGCACACTGTTTGCGATTATAATATCGACATGTTTCCCCTCAAATCCGAAAGATTTGTGGATGAAATATAGGGATGACATGTCTGACGATGTGTTGCATCGCGTGCGTTGTGAAACTTTGAATCCTACATTGGAAATTACGGCAGAGATTTACAATGACACATTGATCATAATAGAAGATATGTGTTTATTGATGGCAAATAAAGGTCCTGACAGCACCCAATCGTGCTATGCAAAATGCATTAAACCATGAGTAGCAAAGAGAACTCCAGTACGATACTCAAGCTACGACCGAAGCAGTTCGCACAACCATTCCGCATTTGAACGAAGAACAAAGGATTGCGTACGATCGTGATACAAGCTGTAAACAGTGGGTCCTGGGGATTTACTTTCTTGATTCTCCTGGGGGTTCTGGGAAAGCGTTCCTAATTACATTGCCATTAGCAAAGATCCGATCGCAAAATGAGGTAGCTCTAGCGTTGGCTTCATCTGKAATAGCAGCAACTTTATTAGAAGGCGGACGAACTGCACATTCAGCCTTAAAATTACCATTAAACATGCATATCAACGAAACGCCAGTTTGCAACATCGCCAAAAATAGCGCTATGGCGAAGACTCTCCAAGTATGCAAATTGATAATTTGGGACGAATGCGCAATGGCATACAGGAGGTCGCTGGAGGCRCTAGATAGGACGTTAAAAGATTTACGTGATAACCTAAAAAGCCATGATACTGTTGTCAGGTGATTTTCGTCAGACTCTTCCAGTAATTCCTCGATCGACTGTGGCTGACGAAATAAACGCATGTCTAAAATCGTCAAATTTGTGGCGGCACGTAAAGACACTACAGTTAACTACTAACATGCTTTTTTTGCAACAAGATCAAACTGCGACTGTGTTTTCGAGACAGTTGCTGGATACTGGCAATGGTAAGGTCGCAATTGACAGCTCGACCGGAGTAATGACTTTTCCTACAGATTTCTGGCACTTCACAGAATCGAGTGAGGAGCGTGTTTTTCCGGACATTAAAAAACAATATAATAACCACGATTGGCTAAGTGAACGAGCAATATTGGNTCTAAATAATTAATAGTATAATGAAAATTAACAAAATGTCTTTTAAGGATATAGATATATATATATTATCTTTTAAAGACTTGGAACATAAAACGGGCAGAATTATGTGCGGATAACTCTTGGTTTTTGCCCCACGATAATGCACAGTTTCATACTGCATTCATTCTTCATGAGTTTTTCACCAAATCTTTAATATCGTGTCGCAGCGCTTTCATTCGCCTGATTTATCTTCGCGTGACTTCTGCATATTCAGTAAACTCAAATGACCAAATAAACTCCAGGGCAACCGTTTTGAGCCAAATGAAGACATTAAGCGCGAATCGCTACGCGCATTGAATGCTTTTCCGGAAATAAACTTTAACAACTTTTTTGAAGTTTGGAAAACGCGTTGGCACAAGTATTGGGGCCAAGGGAGATTACTTGGGAGGAACGACATAGATTTTGAAGAATAAATTATTAATTTTAAAATTTTGAACAAAGTCTTACTATTTTTTTCTCATAGTAATAAGTCTTGGTAGTTTTTGTACATTTTAGTAGACGGTTGCGTCTTAACGAGGGGCCTGCAGGCACGAATTCGAATCAACTGTTCATATCAGGCGCGCCAATCAGACCATTCACTACTTTAAAGAAAAGTCAGCTACTTGATGACGTACTTGCAATTTCTTCACATTGAAATAGGAGTAGATGTCATTTACTGAACTACATGTCCAAGGTCGGTAGCCTAAGCTCTTACAGAGTTTTATTTGTATTTTTTCGATATATTTTATTTCATGTGAAGGGAGACCAATTTACGGTGACGTATTCTAGAGTTGAAAAAACCAGAGATGTAAAAAGGCATAGTAATAAAATGGGATTCGTGTATAACACGTATAACACGGTTACACACTTTTTATGTTCAAATCTAGTTTGTTTTTGTGGAAACAGCTCGATAGTCGTTCGCTCACTAGTTATCGTACGAAAAAACTTCAAATCATATTCAGACTGAGAGTCATTACCAATATCGATTACAAAAATACTAAATAGAGTAGGTCATATCAACTTGAATTGGTAATGCCGTCAATTAGGTATGAGTGGATCGATTTATGTCCGTCACCTCGAATGCCGTATCTGTTTAGTTTATTTGGAAAGATAATATGGTCCGTCGTATCGAATGTTTTGCTGAAGTCCGCGTAGACAGTATGAACAACCTGACCGTTATTTAGAGCTTCTAGTAAATAATTTACATAAATGACAAAATTGGAGGTGATGGCGTGCTGTTGTTAACTCGGCTATACGAGCAATTTTTATCAGTTTCAAACTGAATGTCCTCGAACAAGGTGTAGCAATTGTAAGGTGTATTTATGTTGCAATCCGCAAAAAAAAAAAATTGTTTCGTTTCTTTTCATACCTAAATGTACGAAAATTTCCAAACGACTGTGATCAAATTAAAAGTTGAATTTTGTCCATTTCATTTCCTTCAAAGTAATCGTATTCATAGTTTGCAGCGTCCTTTTGAACCCCATTCATCCCAATATTCCGTTTGGAACATACACTTTTTACTGGAGCTTGTAGAGGCAGCTGTTGATGATGGAGATGAGAATCGAGCTGATTGTGATACCTAAGTTGTAGCTGGCGAAATTATGGAAAGTAACGATGGGCGACCTCTTTTGCATGCTATACTCGTTATATTTTTTGCTTGCATTAGTTCATTTGCAATATAAAGTTGAAAAGCGAGCAGTGACAAGAATTTCTTTTCACTCGTATTATTTGCTGTGTTTTTCGGTACAAAAGCCAACTGTTGACAACAGCAGAGTTAATGCACCAGTAGACAATTCGCATATTCCACTTTTTCGAAGGGCGATTGATTTTATATAGTTATAGTAACATGTCGGCAAGGTCAACTCCTCCCATATGTCTATTTTATTAACTATAATTAAATTGCGAGCAATTTCAAATTTGAAGTCACTTGATTCTCGTATGCTTTTCTTCAACTCCTTTTCGAATTTTAGTTCGCAATTTTTATCCGTTTTACTCTTAACCCTTAAATGCCCAAGGCCTCAGATTTTTGTAAAAAATTTATATGTTATGTAAAAATATATGTGGAACGTGGTTTCTTCGACGATTTTTTGAAAAAAATTACTTTCAGAGAAATTTTTTTAAAAATAATGGTTGTATCCTTAAAGATACACTGGGCATTCCCTTAATTTTTTACTTCAATACCCAAATCAGCTAAACCTTATATTCAAACGATTAAAATGCGGCTTATATTGCAAGGAAAGTAATTTATTAAAAATGTATTCATATTTCATAAATGTTCGTATAAAATTATATAAAATTTGGTGCATAACTTACTAAACAAAAGTGTTTTGGAAATTTTTTTTTATATAGTCGTTTTACATTAATACACTTATGTATTGGTGAAGAAAACTTATTATATCTTAAAAATAGTGATAATTATAAAAGCAAATTTTTTCTGATGTCATACATAAATTTACTTTACATTTAGAAGAAAACATTTTTGTTTGGCCCGAACAATTTGGATACTTACATCTGCCTTTGTTCCATATTGTAGTCCAGTGATCCGTCATGTCCAAAAGGCTGTCTTTTGATAAAGCTACAGAAGAATTCGGTTTCCTCTTTTTTTCCTCTAAAAACGGCTGGAGGTTACGACGCCCACGTTTAGAGGCTTCAAAAGATTTTAAACTAAATAGTGAATCCGCGACTTCTAACTTAAAATCAATAAGACGCATTTCTTTATATCATTAGCACATGTTAAGTCTAGTAAGTGATAAAACATTCTGTTGGTCCATTTACGACTTTTCATCGTGATTTTATGACTACCCATACAGCTGTCAAGTAAATCTACGCCACTCATATGACGATTGTACTCTTTAATTATTTCTGGGCAGGAAATCATTTTGAATGTCTTGTCCTTTTTGTCGTAACGTTTTATGGAGGAAGATGTTGCAGGTAAATCTTCGTTTTGACCAATCATCAAGATTGGTTTCATACCGATGTAAGTTGAAACAAGATTAACAATCTTGTTGTCCTTCCATGACAATGATGTCACATCGACGCCGTAAATTGAATCAACGTATTCCACGCTCATATTTTCACATTACTTTCTCCTTTGGAAGCTTGCAGTTTTTAATCCGATTGCGACGAATAGTCCCAATTGAAAGTATACCTTGAGATCGTAAATATACTAACAACGGCACAGTTGTACAGTAGTTATCAAAATAAACGATAAGATTTTGATAACGAGGAACCTCACGCAAAAGTCTAACAACAATATTTACAGATGACTTCAAATCTGAATCGCCCTGGAGTAATATGTTAGGTCCTCCGGAAAAAATGTCAAACTTATAAGCAAACCCGGTGGAGTCACATAATACATATAATTTAAACCCCCATTTCTTAGGCTTGTTAGGCAAATATTGCTTCATGTAATTTTTCATTTTTGAAGAACACATTTGTTCATCAACGCACAATCGGTCTAACTTAGGTATGCTACGGAATGTTCTGTTTAGGGTATCAATCAATGGGC